TCTGACAATGTACACAGGAGGACACTATGGAAGATTCTTCTACACTATGGAGTACCTGAGGAGATCGTCAACATCATCCGTAATTCATACGACGGATTGCAGTGCAAAGTGGTGCATGAAGGACGGCTGACAGACACGTTGCACGTGAGTATCAGAGACAGACAAGTCAGCTTACTCTCACTTTCTCTTTCTCCTGGTGGTTGTCTGGACTATGTAGATCTCTACATGTGAGGGGAGTCATGGAATAAAATGGACAGGTCGTAATCTATTAGAAGAGTTGTACTACTCAGACGACCTAGCTCATCTATCCCATACACAAGAACAAATTGAGGTCAAGGCAAATAGTGTAACAGCAGATTCTGCATCAGTAGGCCTCAACATACACATGGGTTAAAGCAAGATTCTCAAATAAGACAGGGGGAACACCAAACGAATGTGTTGTTTTCACTAGAGGTCCTGTTAAAACTAATAGAGGCTCCGAACGAAATAATTGTGGACATTTTCTTATGGATAGTGAAAAATGCCGAAACTTGGTAACGTTTATTATGTCCGAAACTTTGCGGTGTATAAACTTTTTTACAAGCTTTATGTTTTAGCAATTTGATATGTGGTTGTAAAAAAGGTGATTTAATCTACCATTAATCACATGGGTTTATATTGGTATATTTCAATTAATTTTATTGGACAAGCTGCTCGACTCTCTATGAGGTATAAATTTAATAGTGGCTTCGTACACGCGTACGTGAATTTCTTATTAGTATAGATAATAGTGTAGTGACCAACTTTTATCAAGAGAACGCGATTGGTTTAATGGAACAATTATTATTATAACCATTTGTACCAGTGATTGTTTTACTGTGCTCGTTTGTTTAACTGTGCAAACGACAGCCATATTACTACTCTATAATTCTCCATTACTTTTCCGCGGTTTTGACCTCGGACGCAAGTACTCTCGCCGGCCGATTCCACTTGTACTCTTTTTAGCACGATTTCGGTATTCGTTCGATACCACGAGATCGCCAACAAAATAAACTTGGTTCCTCTCTATATTCGCCTTCTGGTTCATTTGGCACGCATTTCTTTGTAGTGGTTTTCATAGTCAACTGCGACTCGACTCCACGCTACAATAGTAATCAGACATGATGTTTCGAATTAACTATTTTAATCCTGCTTATAATTCTGTACTTATTCTCAAAATTAATTGTAATCTGACTGTTTATGTACGTTGTTAGTATGCTTTGTTTGTGTGTGTGTCTGTTCATTGTTTATTTTATTCCACTATGTTTTCGGGACCGTATGAACTAATTCAAAGACTTACTTTCATCTGGCTAGCAATAGCCGGAATCCACGCTAAATACGGTAATTTCCTCTCACTGTTTGTTTACCGATATGCACTCCTGAAACATGTGTATCCTCAACTCAACTTCTCTACTCAACATCTAAATTTCTCTTTGATTATGCTGATAGAGTGAGGGAGGACGTATGTCAAACTTGCAATCACATATTTCGTTGAAGTCGAATAAGTAGCATAAATCAGCAAGCCCAACTCAAGAAATCGTAATAATCTTCTTGAAACTTTGGTGTTTACCGCTTACTACTAAAATACTTTATGGAAGCATTGAAGATGATCCGATCACAATACGGAGTAAGCCGAAGAAGTTATCGATTGTTGATTAATGTTTTTGGTAAAATTGGATTGGTCTTTATTGCCTAAAACTGTGTGAAATTCCTGAATAATATGCTCTCCAATGTGGTAGAAATCGATGGTTTGAGACCCTAGATATATACGGAATTCATCAATGACGAACGGATTTCTTTTACATTATTCACTAAATCTTGAATGTGTAATTCAGTATACTTAAATTCGCTTCTCGCTTCATCATCATTCCGTTATTTTTTCATTCCTTTTGAATTATTTTTAGAAATCTAGTACTTTTATGAATTAGCGTATCTATTTATTGATAGTTTTCAGTAAAATTCACAATTATTTTCAACACAATATTTGTTTGTTCCCAGTCAGTAGCAATATCGTTTTTTATCCCTCATTGGTTATTTGAGATTGTAACTTCAGGTCTCATGTTGCTGATTAGTGAAATCTAAATGAGATCAATTTCATTTCTTATTCAAATTCATTGCACATTATTTTGCTGAACGTTTCATTCATTAAAAACGATTCGAGGTTATATTTAGTGCACGTTCAGCAATTAAGAATAATTTCTAAGTCATATTTTAAGTAATAATAATAACAATAATAATAATATCACTCCTTGATTTTGTATAGACTTGTCTGCAGACTGATATGCATTTCTAGTATACAAGGGCTAGTAATATCAATTCTGCCTAAAACTAGGTGTATGGAGTTCGTGTTCACGATTCACTGTTTGAGTGCTCAACCATGCATTTCGTTCAGTGTAAATATGTGTTATAGCTTGTGGCCTATGTGCCCTGTTAATGTATAAGATAACGATACCGCCAATTAGAGAGCAGTGAATTATCGATCGACCAATGACACGTAAAACCCGTACGAGCAGCCTAGAGTCCTGATTGGTCCTGCTTCCCGCCTAGCCCAGCCAGTTGAGTCCAGAACGTCAATCTGAGCCTCTGCGATATGCATCATTATATTTCAAACACACTGAGTTTATATACTAATCAAACAAACCACAACGGACCATAAAATAGAAAACAACATTTGTACAAGATTTGGCCAAAAGTGGCTGTGAATGTGGGAGGCAGTGATTAATAGAAAGGGCATAATTCAAGAATGGTAAAACGTATAATAATAGTTCATAGGTTAAAATAAAGCTTATTATAAGAGGAATATGAATATGAATAGTCTAGCTGTTATACAATTATACGTTAAAAATATACGTTTAGTATTAGTCCATAAATAGATCCCAAAAGTTACTATTCATTCTGCTTATCGTGACATAACAATAAGAAAAGTGATTTCTTAAGATGGTGTCTATTATTAACTTTCCATTCTGTTTTTTCTGTATTAATCTCAACTGCATTTATATATATCAAAGATTAATTCGGCGTTTTACTGGGGGTGTTTCGAATTCTGATTTGTCTTAGTTGCAGTCTTCTAGCATATCTATATCTATCCTTAAATTCTTCTTAAGTCACTATAGTAATTCGAGTTATTGTAATGATAGCGAAAAAATAATTTTACGACATCCATTTTGATAACTTTGTATATTGTAGTGAGAGGGTAAATGTTATTAGAACCATGTGATACATAAATAGGATTAATCTAATCATATAAATTAACATGTTAAGAAATTTATGTGCTGGTGTACTAATATTGTGTTTAATTGCTCTTATGGCAACCTAATTTGGTTCAAATTCCAATCTGATAACTCATAAAGATACTCGTGATATATGACCACAATGTATCATTAGGTAATTACCAAAAAAGCACGTAACAAGTATATGAACTTTAGTAACCACCATGTGAGACCTCTTGCAAACTTTCCACGTAGCCATTTGGATAGTTTCGCTCTCAACGACTTATGCTTTCCAGTAGCGTTATTGCTTACTTATAATTACACTGTTTTTGTTCCAATTTATGTGTGATTGAAGACATGATGGAAACCAGTCTGTAAATCAGTGAAGTCTGGTTTACCGCTCACTGTTTTGTGAAATAAATGGTTAATTCATAGTTAAGAACGACTGAGTTCATTGCTACATCGTTCTGATTGTTGTTCACATTATCTTCTGATAACCTTTATTTATGAATTCAATAAAGCTTCATGATTGCAGGAAATTTTCTTCATCGGTATGATTCGGTATTACCAATATGTTTAAGTGATAAATGTGACACAAGCGTAATAAAGCTATAAATACTTTCCGAGTAATAATACAGCAATGACATAACTTCTTTTGATTTTTTGCTATCTTATAGCATCTATATAAATAGCATGAGTATTATTTCAATGACCCCATGTCTGTATGTTTGAATATATTAAATTCAAAACTCCGTTTTGCCTTTTTCTACTTTCGTACCAGTCAACTAGCTACATATCTTGATCCGTAATTTTTATCGATTGGATTTTAAATTAAGTACTATCAAGTATATAAATGAATACGTTTTCCTCCTGTGAAAATTTGTCAATTTATCATTGAAAGGTTCGAAAGCGTAGACTTATTATACTCTTCTTAACGCCCACTAGAACAATGTGTCTATAAAATTAATCTTGCTCATAATAGGTATGGTGATGAATAGACAAGTATCTAGTATTATGGACTTCTAAACTGATCACCATATTATTCTAAGCAGAGATAATGGTGGCTAGCAGTTTGAAGCGAACGGTTCTGGGTTCGAGCTCTTGAGTGAATGTCAGCTGACCAGTCCCAAGTAGGACGAAATGCATGTCCTGGGTTCCACTGCTAACCACTCTCACCTCCACCCATAATGCTTGTGATTGAAGGCAATATCAAAGCAATCCGCACAGGATGCACATTTGTCAATAAGAGACTGATCAATTGTATAATGAATTCTGACTTCTGTACATCAATCATACTAGCCTGTATTTATTCATTGTTTTAATTAGTCAACTTTACGTAAATAATCTGAATAGACAGAGAACGTCCTGGCTTTAAAATTTATGCGGTAAAGATACTCATCAGGAATTCGTAAAAAAGTACTTGGATGCTACTGTATTCGTTTCCGTCAATTCACTAACTGAATCGCGTTCATTTATTTTTTCTTCTATTCTATATTCTGAATTCTGAAATATCTTGTCTTGTTTGTAAATTGAATGTCATTTATGTATTCTTAGGTACGTTTTCATGTACGCTTCGCAGTGTAGTTGCGTGAACTAATTCATGTGCATATAAACCAGAGATTTACTGAAATGTAAAATCGAACTCATCTTGATCATTTTTGAGTGAACCCAATTTACATTTAATAATGTTTCTCACTTTCCGTTTTCTATATTTTTGTTTATGTTTTACAAAATCTATTTTGAACGCTTGTGTGAACCTTTCGATAATTTTAAGAATATGTATTTTCAAGTAGTGTAGATTGTAAGTTAGTGAATTCTACTAAATGGGAAGCTGAAATTTTGAGTTAAGAACATGCGATGATTAGGCTAACTAAATTTTATTTGATTTAAATATTAGGCATAAAACAATATAAGTTGGTTACTCATTTTGAGGAAAAGAAATTGGAGTATATTGACTCTTATGCTGAAATAAAGTTTTGTTATCGATAAATAGGTATTTCACATGAATAGTGAATCGAATCATAAAATAAAACCAAAGATGAGAATTGTGTATTCTAAAGATTTGTTTAAGAAAGTGCAAATAAATCACTCAAATGTTGAAGCGTCCCAAAACATGTTTAGCGTGTCAAATATGTAATTCATAATGGTTTTACCATGCATCGCATTTTGTAACAGGATTCATTGGTGAACCAACTGGACAACCATATGCACGTGCGAATCTTCTACTATTGACCAACGCCCCGATCACTCTTTCAAGGTAGAGAAAACAAAGTTATTTCGTTAGTTTGTAGAGCTGTAAACGAAATACACAGATACTGTAAAGTTTGCTAACTGAAACTACTGTTTTCTGATAAAGATTGTGAAGGGTTAATCAGATTCAAGGTAAAGTAGGCGACTTTCAGTGCAGTTCTAAACCATCGGAATTCATTAATTTTTGAGTTTTTATAGCCGTTTGTATTATCTGACAAAAAACAGTTATATGGCTTTCAAGCATGATAGTGTTCATTCTTGATACGGAATATAATGCTGAATACTTGTAATTCTTCGTTATATACTGCAACATCTGCTATGAAAACTTCAGTTTGTGTCAACAAATATTTCAAGTCATAAATTTTAGTATAACATATGTAATTTAGATCGTTATAAATTCTTACCTAAACTTTTCCAAGACATGAGGCATAGCTACTGCATTTTGTGCAAGTATTACCTCACCATGATGTCCGCACATAGCCTTGAAAATGGGATAATGAAATCAGTTGAAAAGTACATTACTAGTTATTTGGTGATAAAACAAGACATGATTATATTTAGGCTGACATTGCACTTATTATACATTACATAAAGTATACATCACTCCGCCTTGAGCCCATCTTGGGCTACTGCCAATCCCAAGCCCGGAAAAAGAAGAGAGTTGGGCATGAGGTTAGCGGCACAATCACGTAAAAATCTAACTCGCTATAAAAACGCTAACCAGAAAAAATAATTCAAACCATTTAAACTCTGCCCTGGAAGTACGAAGGTCTTCATTTAGAAGAGTTATGACGCCTCATGGTGAAAAACGAGTTCCTTCGGAACTTACGAATTTGATGGCTCTTCTAACAGTGAGAGCAACCATTAACGTAGGTCCATGGAATGTTGTGGTGTTTGAATGATTTAATGATTCTTTTGTACTTGTTGAATGCTCGATTTAGAATTCTAAATACAATACATTCGTTTGTGCTCATCTAGTGCTTCTTGATTCAATTGTGTTATATCGAGGATTCTTAGTTCATAATATAATTGAAATCACCAAATTGGCGTCACGATGGAGCCTGTGATTGAATTATTGGATATACATTCAGATTTTGGTGCTTTTGATGATTATTTTGAAAGGTTCGAAATCTGGGCTATGACCAAGGAAGATGATGAGGGTGTTAATATTGTGGCATATTTCCTCACATTCATCGGAAAAGAAGTATACAGCTTATTAAGAACTCTGGCTATGCCGGAAAAGCCTATCTCTCTTCCTTATACAACTCTCAAGGAACTGGTGCTAGACTATGTTAAGCATACAAATTTCAAACGCAGTAAAGGAATATTTTGTAAAGTGATTCATGAGGATATAAGAAATTCCACTGCATTACTACGTCATCCCAACACAGTGCATACTCAAGGCTATGCAGATAATTCATTGAGGAGTTTGGATGCATTTCACGAAGATGGACATAAGTTTGATCAATGTTTTTGCTGTGGCAATTTACACTCTTTTAATTCATGTATAGGATAGGAATCTCACGGATCAAGGATCATCAAAACCTCCTTCAAAACAAAGAGAGAGGGCATTTCAATGAACGTCATCCAATGCTACGCGCCTACCAACGACTACAATGAAAATGTTAAAGATCAGCCCTACAATAGGCTGCAGTCAATCGTGGAGAAATGCCCAAAACAAAGGACCTGGCCATTCTGATGGGAGACCGAAATACTATGGTTCGAATGAACAACACTGTACATGAGGACATCATCGGACGACATGAACTGGGAGAAGGGAACGAAAATGGTGAGGGATTCGCAAACCTATGTGTTTTCAATAAACTGGTCATAGGTGGCACCAAATTCCCACATAAACGCATACACAAAGCCACATGACTTTCACTGGATCACACTACACAGAACCAAATTGATTATACCTGCATCCACAAAAACTTCAGGAGAACGAATGAGGATTTGAAAACCAGGATAGGAGCTGATATAGCCCCGGATCATCACTTGCTGGTCAACAAGACGAAACCGAAACTCCAGAAGCACTGGACAACGGGCGGACAACATCAGTGATTTTTGTACGGCCTTTCTTCGGGATACGGACAAATCGAATAAATTCAGGGTAGACCTCAGCAATATATATATATATATATATATATATATATGTATCCTTCATCTCCCTCTGATGTATAAGTATGTCAATACCTATAATAACGTTAAATTTCAAGTATTTTAGGGTGTAAGCAACTGAATAGAACCTAACGAAATAAAAGGAATTCATATTATTCTGCACCAGCCTTTGTTCTTGCTCTCTTTAAAATAATTCAGATCTGTTGGTCAGACACTATCAGTAACAATCTACAGTGGGAGAGAACAAACCAGATTCCAGCGGAGGAAGAAATCAGGAAGAAGCTCTGGAAGTAGATAGGGTGCACATTTAGGAAATCAACTCAGTGCGTCACGAGACAAGCCCTTACATGTAATCCCAAAGGCCAAAGGAGAAGAGGAAGACCAAGGAACACATCAGGCTGAGAAATGGAGACAGACATGAAAAGACTAAACAACAATTGGATAGAATTAGAAACGAAGGTGCAGGACCGAGTGGATAGGAGAATGATGGTCGGCAGCCTATAAGTTTGTTTGAACTGGTAGTTTTCATTTTGATGATTTATGTTATTGTCTTAGTTTTAAACTTCACTCCTTTTTCAGCTCCTTCAGATAATGTGAAAATATTATTGAGCAGACAGTAAATTCGAATAATAATTTTCGGTTGAATTTCAGAAATAATGACATGGGTGGTATGATGATTTTTATGAAAGTGTTGATGTATACAACATTCACATCCAAGTTCAAGGGGAACAAAGAACGTAGGATGAGTGTTTTAGATAAAGATGATAAATACCATTGAATATAACATTTAGAAAAATATACCATAGGTATTCTTATGAATAACAGCAATTCGAATCTTCGACTTACTTGTGCAGACGAGAGGAAGAACAGTCGATCAGATTCAAGTGAATCGTGGTTATCTTGGCTAACATTGTTCGAGAACTTCTTCAACAAACGCTTGTATGTCTGAATAAAGAATGTTTTGTAGTGTAAAATTTACTGTGACTGAGTTAGTGTTTTTGAAATCAACGGTCATAATACGTAGTAGTAAAACACCATTTATAGTGAATAGGTGGTATGTTTGTGAAACGCTTTTAGCAACGTGTTATCATAACATAGTTTCTATCATGAACGATCAAAATAAACCTATGCACATTGTGCTGTATTTCATAGTTTTCATGAATCACGAACGAGAAATCGAGTAACAGAGTTATGTACCTAATTTAACCACCGAAAGAATCATTAACCAAGCTATTGAGTTTTCTGCTCATTGAATTGATTTCACAGAGATATTCCAAGTATGTTTGTGTGTTTTGTCCCCTTAATTTTATACTGCAAATCAAATTTGACGCTAATAAAATTTTGTACAAATACAGTTTCGATTATTGGACAGAACACTACGGACTGGTCGATTTTTGTTTTCATATCAGCAATTGTGAGATAACTGTTTGAGCTGAGTAATAGCAAAAGAATATTTGAAAGCGGACAAAGGAGCATATAACTCAGAATGTAGTGAACGTGGGACAAGCATATCAATGTTTTCTTAAATAGTCTATTAGGCTTTTAGTTACCCAATTATCAATCATATGGTAGGGTATAGAAAGCTTGAACAACGAACGTGATATCGGACCACTTTGTGAACCCCTATGTTTACCTGACAAAAATTAACATTTATCCAGAGAAGTAACTGTAAGATCCTTTGGTATTTATTAAATCTGATTGCTTTCTTTGTTATGGTGAGTCAATAAATTTTTCTGTGTTGGTCTCATAAATGACACACGATTAATAGTATTCTTTATTTATCTATACCATATTTAGATTTTTGTTCATTGAAAGGAAATCATCGAACTACTCAAGATACACAATAGTATTCTGAGGACTGATATCTAGTTTCAGTGGTCATAAACAAAATTATATTAATTATCTGAATGTACTTACGTGGTACGACGCTTTTAATCCATCATTGTCAGCCAACATTTCTTCTTGAGTATCAGTGCGAAAAGCCTAAATCAGTTGAACAATAAAGAGGCATGTGTTGTGTAAGATTGTGAACCTGAAATCAGAAATTCTCACATTCCTTTTTTTACACTGAAATGTTATGCTGAATTGTCTTCGAAAGTCACTATTGATTAAAAAGAATTTCACTTCCGAACAAATACATGCTAATAACTAGTCTGAATTGATTTTTTACTCTTGTTTTTTTCAATTTCTGTAGTATTTCGAAAAACAGTTTATTCAAAATAAATCACATAACAATTTACGAAATTATGAGTAAGTTTCGTCAAATATAGCGAAACAAAATTCTTAAAAAACAGGTCTTCAGTGTACAAGAGTGATATTCGGCTGAACAATCTAAGTTAATTTTGTTATATCCGAGCAAAAATAAAGGGATAGTAACTTTCTGGCGAGCTGTCATGTGATTTTGCAACCTCAAGTGGTGTCCGACAAGGCTGTCCACTATCTTCGTTTTTGTTCAATTTGATCACCTACTGCTAGAAATAGCGTTCTCGTTGTCTGAATTTTCTGAGATCGATCTCCTGCCAGGAGGTCCACTTATTGACTTAGAATACTCATATGACATAGTCCTGTTTGGTGAAGACGCCGATAAAATACAGAGATCTGTTTTAATTCACGGCTTCGAAAAGTGCCTGCTAAGGGTAGGGGATACTCGTAAGTTACTAGTATTTGACCATAGATGTCTTATAAATATTGCCAGCATCTGCTGGGATCAGCTGGTAAGTAATAGTGAAGTTGGACTAGGAGTACTAGGGAATGACGGTAAATCAGTTGACGAAGTTGCGAATCTTCATCGACTGAGATGGCTGGACCACGTATTACACATGTAGACGGATAAACAATGTGAGTATGAGTCCTACCCTCGTTGCGTATCGGTTTCTTAAGGTCGTCTATGGGTTTTGATTGCTGCTAGAACATAACATTCATAGCATCGACTGATTCTTTGATGATAAACTTGACTAGTAGAACACATTAAAATGGTTTTGTTTTAACACACCTTCAGCTCCACCTGTAGCTCTTCTAGAGTCACTGCCAGTCCCCAGCCCGGGTAAAGGAGAAGGGTTGGGCATGGGTTAGCGACCCCATTCTGTAGACAAATAACTTGCCAGAAAGACGCTAACCAGAAAAAAATAATCCAAACCATTTAAACTTTGCCGCAGGAGTTATAAGAGCTTTATTTAGAAGAGTTATGACGCTTCATGGTGAAAGACGAGGTGCTACGGAAGTCATGAGGCTGATGCCTCATTCTTGCAACCAGAGCAACATTTTCTATAGGCAAATGGAACGTCCGGGCAATATAGGAGACTGTGAAGACCAGTCAAATAGCAATGGAAATGAGGAGATACAAATTGGCAGTACTTGGAATCAGCAAAGGTTAAATACGGGCGAGATGCTACTATACTCCGCTCACGAGGAGGAAAATTCTCCACACAATCAGGAAGCTGCTCTAATGTTGTTGAAAGAAGCATGAAATGCACTTGTAGGATGAGAATCTCACGGATCTAGAATCATCAAAGTATTATTCGAAACAAAGAAGCATGAGATCGCAATGATTGTTTTCCAGTGTTATGCACCTACCAATGACAGCAATGACGACATTAAAGACTAGTTCTACGATAGGCTGCAATCAATCATAGCGAAGTGCCTAAGAAAACACATCACCATTCTGATGGAAGATCTAAACTCGAAAAGAGAGCAATAACTGGTGTCACATTTAATGGTAAGTTCATTTTCCAATATTCTCAAACGTTTTAAGTTAAATACAATTTAAATGAAGAAAGTAGCATCACTTGATGATTATGGAAAATTTTTGTACTAAATAACCTATGACTATACAGAATTTCAGTAAATATTTATATGTTCGTATTTATAATTTAGCTAAACTTACTTTTAAAGCAGTGTAACTATAGAAAGCATACTGACGACTCAGACATAAAGCATTCAAATGTTTCAAACCGGATGACAGTAAAGCATTGAACGAAGTCCGTTTATTCTGATTCTCATCATACAGTACACCTGGAGATACAACGAAACTAATAGGTTATGTTTATTGAAATTGTAACTAATTTTAACATAATTGCTAGTGTGTATGTAGAGTAGAAGAAAGGGAAAGCAGAAATCAGCGTATATTTGTTTGATAATCACCAGTTTTCACATCAATCGAAATGAAAGATTAAAACCATGAGTTTGTCAGAAACTAATAAAGCAGACATTATAAAAAGTGGATGGTGTCTAGCAGTGGAATTCAGAATACTCATTTCGTCCTATTTGGGACCCGTCAGTTAGATGAACCTACATCCTAGCTCTGCTTATAATACTTTTGACCTAAGACAATATCAAGCCGATCCTCACAAAATGCACGTATGCCAATAAGAAACCAATACATTGCAGTCCTAAACATCAATGAGAAGATTCAAACAATCAGTATTAAAATGAAATTATACAACAGACCTTTAACCGTGACTCGTCAAAGTACAGCATACCAGAGTAGAACAAGTTTTTTCATATGATTCCAAATTATTCCATTGGAATTATATGGGAGGATGGTTTTCAATGAGTTCTGTGGATGAAGTTTCGACTATATACTACATTGCCTAATCACTAATACTGAATCAGTGAAAATTTATATCATCAATTTACTATCAGGACAACAGCAGTCTAATGTTGTATTCGAAAACGAGTCTGATATTCAGTGTATGGTTACAGAGTAATACTCAGTATCAATTAGTCGGTGATTTATAGAATAAAATGATTTTGTGAAGTTCGAAATATTAAAAGTATGGAAACTAATAAAAACCAAATTATGAATCAAATAATTCACCGATTTCTAATAAAAGTTTCCACTAACTAAATATACCTTCAATTGATAGTGAGTGTACTCTCGTGAGACGTGGATCGATGACACAAAAGAGCTTTTCAATCAGTTGTTACAAGTAACCGATATGAGTATGAACTAAGCTGACATGGATGTGGTCAAGTATTTAATAGTCAAGCTGAAAAGATTTAATATTTCGTTCGAAGCACAACTAGACTAAACTAGACTAGTTGAAGCCAATCTACAAATCGCTGCATGGTATCACAAGCAAGGTGATTTATACATTACTGAACTAAACTGGAACTTCCACCTGTAATTATATTTGAATTTGTAAATATTGTGACGATTGATTAATGGATTCTTTCTATTCATATTATAGTGAATTGTCGTGAGATCGCCTTCCTTTCAGTGATGTGCTGATTTCGAGAATGTATCGATACAGGACACAGGTGGTATTTTGTGATTCCGTAATCGGAAAACGCTTAATACTGACATGTGGAGATTGTACACGATGACAAAATATTATTCAGATATTACGTGATGTTTGTCCACAAGGTTAGTTTCATCAAATGAACAATAAACTGAGATCGTCAAACTCAGGATGTTGACATTTTGTTGATATGCAAAATAAATGATTCTGATCAATACATGTTAATAATTAGTCAAATAGTAAATTTCTCTATGAATTCATGAGACAATTAAATGATATTGTGGTTTTATTAACAGTATTATACCGAAAGTAATAGTTTTATACAAGTTAATTAATATTACTTTTAAGAAACTGAAAATTTAGTATACTGATTGAACAAACCTTGGATACCTATTCCGTGCATAATCTCATGACTTATAATCCAACCAAGTGCTCCAAATTTCGAAGCTAAACTACCATTTTCATAATAAAGTGGAGGTTGTAGAAGTCCTGGGTATACATATATACGATTTTCATCCGTTGCATAATAAGCTGATACGAGACGTGACAGTGATCCTGTGAGAGATCTGTTCACAAAAATATAAAGGTTTGGTTATTTCACATGTCGTACCATTTCATTAAAATTTCCCGCTTTTTACATTTCACCAGGTAATCATTTCAAGATTACTACGGTACGAAATGTCTGGTATTTCAGTTTTATCACAAACTAGCATGGATTATATTACATGATACTTAATGAATCGGTGAATGAAGCGGTTTTATTCACACAAAAATTGGGTAGAAATTGGTATATCACTTTACAATATGAGATTATGGAATCAGAATAAAAGTAATTTTTTACAACCGCTTTATTATTATGGATTCTAATATTCAAATTAAATATCCGTGATTTCCTAAATAGCCAGTAAGTAACTAATCAGTTCAACTTCTGTACTTATCGAACTAGGAAGTTTACTGTTTGAAAGATTTAGATCATTAGTGACTATTTTACATAGATTTTAGTCTGTTATTTGGGTTCACATTAGTAAGTAGTGTCAAATCTCCTTAAGACGAAAATATAAAGATGCTATATGATATGATAGTAGTTGTAATAATAATAGTAATAGTGGACAATTAGCATTTGTCGTTTGGGTTATAAAATGAATGGAATCTTCTTACTTCATTACCACCTTGAATAATGTAATGAAGGCACAGAAAGTTTTCTTAGGGAAACTGATTTGTACATATTCGTTACAAGATTTAGAGGGAAGATGTCCAAACACGAACCAAACACACATTAAATCAGTCCACGAAATCAATTTGAGTTCATGGTAATGTGGGTTCTATTCAGTAGAAGGCATCAATCCATAAGATAATTTTGATTAAAGAATATTCAAATCTTTGCAGTTAAATAATAAAATTAACAATTTGTGATAACTTGTATTGTTTCTATATCAGAGATATCATGACAACTTACGGGTAATAACTGTGTAACTGAGTTTTCAAAGTGTCAATATATTTCGCTTTACGGATGTAGAATTCATTTGTGTAATAATTGTCCTCTCGAATAGGGTACTAAATATTATTTGTGTAAAAAAACATTGACTGCGATCATTTAAAAGATGTTTAAAGCACGTTCTATACATTCTGTTTTCCAGTTTATTGAGTAAGTATTTCTGAATCAATGGTTTTGGGAAAATGCAGTGTCATTGAAGCAACATTTCGGATTTTCATTGTCAAACCAATCACTGTCACGTAAATTGACTTTCCTCGATTTGTAACGCCGAGTTGCCGAAATGATTTGACTAATGCATAAAATTGTGCGAATAGTCCTCGTGTGATTATAAATTTCATCACTTAATGATATACACACAACCTTGTAGTGTGACGAGTTTGTAAATGATTTTGTACATGCATCCAAGTAGTTGAATTATGGTGAGATTGATGTGTAGTTTTTGATGACCAGTAGATTGGTCAATAAATTGACTGATATATTTGAACCTGTTAGGGTTTAACCTCTGAGTTTCCGAACTGCAGAATAAAGACCAGTGACTTGAAGTTTCTCTACCACGTAATAATTGAGGCAAACCAATGTTGTTTGGAAATGTGAAATATGGTTTTATTACTATAAGTGTTATCAATGATGAGTTCTAGGAATAACGGTGTCTCGTAAGTTTCACATGTCTCCTCGGTGATAACCGGAGTTATTTTGTGTAGAATTAGCTTATTATTATATACAATGATGTATAATATAACCAGTTTTCAATAAAATAATCATTAGTTGTATCAAATGGACATGTAAAATAATTTATTTTTCAATAGTGAAATATGTGTAGTTAACTTACTTGGAATACTGTTGAGAGATTTTCATTTCGTTGAGAAGCATTTTGATTGGAGTACAAGGCAAATATACTCATTTTTGAAACCTACAATTTTTCATAACAATCAGTTATCTTAATAAAACTTAAACAAACCTTGTATTTCATGAATTTTTTCTCTTCTTCATGCAACGACTTGATTTTTGGTATTGAGTTAGTGATAGTGAGTTTAATTTCGTTAAACATATTGATCACCTGTAATAGAGTGAAAATTAATCGAATTGAGAAAGTGTATGTCATGTTTGAAAATTATTGTTCCACAAAATAATAAGCTTGTCACATGCATTAACGCTTTTCACCAATTCTAGGAGCAGCCTTTTAAATAATCTTGGCAGCTTTTTGATTTGAAGGAGCTACTTGAGGCTTTTTTTCTTCTCGGCATTTTTCACCTTCTCCACTTCTTTTTGCTTTTGTTTGTTTTTATTTAGCTGCACGTAAACGTGGTTGCCTTCTGATTTCAAACATCGTTGAGGTTTATTTAATAACGGTTACGAAGGTGATTGATGAACTGGCTATGCCACTACAGTATGATGGATTTTGGTTTCTCAAACCCACCATTGATTTCTGTTCATCAATAATGTTTTTGATATTTAAAATGTGTACCAATATATAGTCTAACATAGTAGCTTAATAAGATCATTTGGATGGATATTAGAATCTGTATTTTAAACGGATTTGGTGAGAAACATGGTATACAGCTAATAAAAACATTTTGAGTGGTTAGTTGCCTACTCCTACTAAATTGTACTGTGTTACACTTAATCTTGGCAATGTAATGTAATGTTTACAATAATGAAGTCTCGTCCCATATTGTTCGAATGATTATTGCACAGTGTAACTCCTAGATCTCAAAAAAGACCACACTAATGATGACAATCCGTAGGGATTCCGATGATTATTTGAAAAACAATCAGCAGATTTTCATCGAAACTATGGTCTTTTCGAGAAAAGTGGTTTGATTTGTTTGTCTAACCGAAACTAGGTCGACATTGGAACCATGTTGACCATTTGATGTAATTCATGTAGGAACGTATATTCGAAATCGAAAGAATAATTTCACAACTGTTGAGGGACAGGTTTGTAGGTGATGTCGAAAGTATGAAAGTGTTTTGGAAATTCTCATGAATTAACATCAAAGTAACCCTAATTTTCGCATCATAATGTTTGTCAGTATGAAAAGTAACTAAAGACAATGTTATTTAACACAAATACAGTTAGGAAATATTTTGTGCTAAACGCTTATTATGTTAAGATGTTGAATATCATTTTTTGTGAGGTGTGCTCTAAATTGTGCTATTCGGAGATATTTGTTTATGTTTATGTAATTTAAGTCAAAATGTGTAGTATTCTCTTGATTTAAATGATTTTAACCTTCGAATATGAATGGTCGACTGTTGGGTATATAGGGGTTTCTGTCAATATTCCAGTAAATTTATGTAAATTTCGATTATTCTCTCAAAGAATCTCAAAACATAATTCTTAACAAAAGTTACCAACATTTCAAATTTTACTACAATGATGTCTACAAATATTTCTTTTAATATAATTGATGTTTAGAATGAAAAACAAGATTTTTTCAATAGTTAAGTGGGTTTCTATCTCTGGAGACACTGATTACTTATACCAAGATGAGTAATCATGGTGTTTCATCATTCGGATAAGTAAAATGATTGGATGTTCATACATTAGCGTTCACATATTAATAGCAGTAGAACGAACTTGGATGACGTCATCCATAGTGTTGAAATGGTAATCACCATATTGTGTTCCATTTATCCATTTGTGGACAGTTAAACTCTGTCATGAATTACAAGCCCATCCAACATAATAAGTTAAAACATATTTTTGAACGTATCTTGTATCCGACTTCATTTACCATCACTCTAATACAAAGATGTTTGTTCACTGTAGTGTTTCTACTAGCCTATTATGAAATAAAACACTGTGTGTACAACTGTCCATTGTTAAAAAATGAACGATTTTTCATTATGGTAAGTAAACTATACCACAAACCATCATCAATAACTGCATTCTGGTTTACAGACTAGAAAACAAACTATATGTACGCCCGGTTTTCATGATCACTTGTATCATGATGGATGATGATTTCTAGAATAAACGGGAAATTCGGAATTAAAACGCAAAGCCGACTGTAACAATGTGATAAATGCTATGATTTTGTAAAATTGTCAGTTAGATGCACATTACAAACATACAATCTATAATGATCTGACGAGAAATGAGCAGCAAATTGCTTATCACTCAGGATTAATTTACTCTGAAATAGAATGCTGTTCAATATATCTCGTCTATACTTAATTGAAATAAAGTGTTTTGATTTGTATTGTCAGTCGTTCAATAAAAGCTGATAGAATTGGTGGATGGATTGAGGTTACCAGAAGTGCTTTAATGGGATCTATGAAGTTCACAGACTGTATCCAGAAAAATGATATAAAGATCAATTGAAATCATCTTCTATGTACGTTACTCGAATTTCCCAACAGATTAATCTATGATATTTTCATTTTACTCAGGTGTGTCATTCGCTCAAGATGAGTAGTTTTCGTTCGAATCTGATAATTATGTTGTAGATCCTTGGCTATATGAGGAATTCTTCAGTCAGTGAACTAGTTGTTTCTATGAGACTATTTGCATTGTCTCATTTCATCATATAACGATTTCATATATATTGCTAGGCGTGTCTACCGTTCAAACATTGTAGATAAGTGAAATATGACATGAACCAACCTCTGTTATGTGTGTTTCGTTTACATGCGAACGGATATAATGTCTTTCAAGCGTCCATGGAAACGCATCCTTCAACCGTTTTATACATTGCTCATCAAAATGTGGCTGTGAAGCTATTTAAAATAAAGTGAAATAATGTTATGTTTTGAGAAGATCAAATGAGTTTATAAAAGGACGGAACGGAATCAGTGAGTGTGTCAACAAATACAAAGTTGATCTTGATATTCCCCATGAAACAAATGACACTATCGTTCAAATCAGTGTTTACAGATCTAGTGTTCATGACTACTTGTATACTCAGTCATCGTATACTTGCTTCAACACTAATTGCAGAAAGAATATATTCAAAATAATGTTTAACCAAATAGCTGTTTTCGTCCGCTACATTGCTTTGAATATCAGGACGTGCTTCAAAGTATACTTTAGATAATTACTATTTCAAGTCATTTCACTTCCATCAATATGACTGAAAATGGCAATGATTGATAAATCTGCATTGTTTCAGGGATAATGGATTACGCTGATGGGATTTGCAGAGTATACTGGATTTGTTTATATATGAATATGTCTACTGTTGAATTATGCAGGCAGAATACAATACGAAGTTTTGTTTCGACTAGTAACTATTGCCTTGTTTATTTATGTGGTTTCTATTGATGAATAACATTTTTATACTGGTTATTAGTATATTTATTGATGCTAGCAGTCAGTGATTATCAAGTGTTTGACGTTAACTTCATTCATATGCTCAATAATTTCGACATCACTGGTGACCTTAGATCATATAAATTAAGAATATCATACTTGTTAAGTGTATAAATTTGCAACACATGAACAGTGGCAGAGCGTTTCTAGTAATGAAGACCGTCGACATACAAAGTTTGTTCGCTACCGATCAACCTATCTCTTTGTTGTTACTCTGACAACGGTTATAAACTGATATACTGTACCTTTTAATCACAGTGTATAAGAAATTAAGCTCAGTATTTTCATTTTCAAAGCATTGTGAAGGTCGTTATAACTTGTGAAAAGATGTTTGTTTCCTAAGGGTACACATTTTTCTCCGTACATTATTCTTGAAGAACTAAAACATGAATAAGTGCGTTAGTAGTTTAGTCGTTTAGCATCAGAGCGGAAAAGCAGTTTTTAATTCAATCCGCACCAAACTCCACTTTATTATACATTTACCTGTTCAGAAGTATAATTATGTATTATAGTAATGGTGAATAAATACATTTTCAAACTAACATTACTGTCCACTAGTATATATTTTAGGGTCGATAAGTGATATTAAATGTCGTTATTCCAGTCGTTCTTATAAACAGTTCAGTGCAATAAAATCGTTGAATTACATAGAGAAACGTGGTTAGAAATTAAATGTCACGTGGATAACCGCTTCATAGTCTCATCATTGACTTTAATATGGATATTTTACAGTAACGAGTAATTAAATCAGTATATTATTACCAAGTGACATTCTCGATTTAACAGTTTGGAAATGAATATATGTCTTATCAATTAATGTCAGTCATCAAGATTGTCTATTACGAATAATCACTTCATGATTTCTTTGCCGAAAATTTCACTTAAATCCAATTCCCATCTAGTTAACAGAATATGTTTCTTCAAAACGGGTTGCAATATAATGAAAACGGGTAAAACTATATCTGAATTGATATATCCGGGGGAGTGAAAAAATTTCATGACCTAAATATTCCATACGTTTTAGTTATTAACTACAAATTAAGTAATTCTATTGTATAATTTCAGTACTAAGTAAATAAATACATTGTTGAATATATAACTAACATGGATTGAAGTTATGATTCGTTCCAAATGTATGGACGTTTAGTGTATTCTTTTGTTGTTCTCTTAAAAAGTCCATAATAGCTATTGTACGTAGAGTACTAATGAAGGGAAAAAAGTCAGGTCAATAAAGCTAGGGTAATGATAGTAATAATGAAACAGCATCGGTAAAACAACATACTGAATTAACAAATAACACAGACAAATGGTTCTAAATTCGAATAACTGTTCTAGAGTTTTATTCTCATCATTTGTAAATTTCTAGAACGACCTACAAGTCTGAAATACGAGTTCTAAAATGTGCTTAATCTCTATTTTATCTGAATCAAATAAGTAAAGCAATAAATGTTATGCATTTGTTACAAATGTTCATGAGAATAAAATAAAATTGGATTATTCAAATGTTTTTAGTTCCAATTGATCCTAAACAGATAATGTGGATTGCATAATCTGATTTGTGAAAAGTGAAAATAGCTTATTATTATCTTATAAAGCTTCATCAGTGCATAATCCAAATACTAGTTGAAGAATGTAGTTAAGATTGAAATTAGTCCATCTAGAGATTACTAGTATAGGGGTTGTGGAGATTAAAAAGTTTTTGATTGAGATCATGAACCGTGACCAGTGGAGCTAATCCTTGTCGGGTAGAGACAGGTATCTACCTCAGTACAACGGAAGTTGGTCGCGCAATTTCGTGGATTGGTTGATGTTAGAAACTGTCACCATTGGATGCCGGCTCAGTGGTCCAGTTGGTTAAGCGTTCGCGCGCGAGGCCGAAGGCCCTGGGTTCGAATCCCGCTCGCGGGATCGTGGATGCGCACTGCTGGGGAGTCCCACAATAGGACGAAACGGCCCTCCAGTGCTTCCAGGTTTTCAATTGTGATGGTCTAACATCAATCGGCTCATGATCTCATCTAGAAATTGTGAAATTTCAAAGAAGACGATTCAAGTTGACCGAACTAACGTAAACAATCTGTCCAGTTTCTTAGAAACAAACAAGTCAACACATTAGTCAATCATTGATATGATTCATTTTAAATGTTTGAGACAAAGCAATCAAAACTATGTTTTTATTTACTTGATTAAAGTGTGAAAATCTTAACATTTTGCTCAACTACTAGGTAGGAATGTAAGGTAGTAATATTGATCAATAAACAGCTACTGGCAAATAAAATTGACTAAATATTTCATATGAGTGTCTTTCTGGCATAGATTGAAATCGAATGATTAGAATCTGTGTTGAACTCTGTAAATTATACCAGTCTCTTTCTTTGTGGCAAGTGTAACGATGAAATGTTTTCATGCAGAACGTAAATAGTTTTATTATCCAAATTTAATTACTAAACTTACGTACCGCTATTAGATTCCATTTCGATCTCACCTAATTATTTTCACAGTTTTAAATCATGAATTGGTCTTAGTTAGACTCCCTGTGAAAACCGGGAAACATTGAATGGCCGTTTCCTGCTAGTATGCGACTCCTCAGTAGTGCATGTCCACGAACTCGCATCCAGGAATCGAAGTCAAGCTCCTCAGCCTCACACATGTACGTTAAGTTTCTAGATTATTGAGTTAGTATCCAACGGTGTAAAGGTTTAATTTCAACTGACGATATTGTGCGACCCTCATCTATTGCCTGTGGTGGATAACCATTGTGGATACACACAGATTGGACATCTCATACGAGGTCAAAGGAACCAACAAGTGCTTCTAGGTTTTCAGTGGTAGTGTTACTGAGGTAAACTCCTGATTTAAAAGTGCAATTTCTACAGTCTCCACAAGTCCTTTACACTAATATAATTCGTTGTTGAGAGATGCAGGTGTTTATTTTTACAAACTTATCGACTGAGAAATTCTATGTTTGTTGCCGACCATAAAGAAAATAAATTATGCTTTACCTTCCACCATCTTTTTCCGTCAATAGTTCACGGTATTCTGCGCAACGTTGACGGAGTTCATTTCGCCGTTCTATAATGATTGGTAGTTTGTGGTAGTTTACATATCCAGTTTCTTGTAATACCTTTTCAAGTGCATAACTCCAATCGATCTACACAAGTAAAATAAGTTACAATGAGCTTAAAATACGGTTTCTCGAGATGAAATGGAATAATATTTTCAGTGACTTTCACGTCACATATAATAGGCTTTTTCATAGAGATGACCACCTGTGTATTACTAGGTAAAACAGTTCAGTAATCTAATACTGATTATTGAGATTCCAGGTAAATATAGATTCCTAGAAAACTTAGCTTACAAGTATTCTATAAAATGAAGATTTCAAATGTTGACTTTCATCTGTTCACTATAAATAATGTCTCACTATTCTGTGCCAAGTAACCTACATTTTGTAGCATACGTTGATAGTTATCAACTACACTTTTTGTTAGGGACACTCAGTTAAACTACTTCATATTTTTTTAAAAAATATAGTTGGGGCAAGTCATATGATAATATTTACCTGTGGACAAATGGATTGTAGTTCGTTTTTCGTCACAAATTCTTTCAAGTGTTGTTTCTTTGAGTTCGACCTCTTTTGGAGATTGAGCATAAAACATAACAAGAATCAAAATGACAGTTGTATCTTAATTTCAATTGGATATCACAAAAGTGACTCTTAGATGAAAATCATTTAACATTCATGGTCTGACAATTGCACACTCCAGTTATACGATATAAGGATTTTAAGAGACATAGTTCACCAATTGTAACGATTAAAATCTTACTGCCAATAATGATCTTGTAGTCGAGTTTACAGGAACGAAAGGAGAGTTTTCAGTTGGAATGCGTGCAATAGACATTTCTAATTAGGTGAGAACTACGAGGAAATTATCCTACCATGATATTTCTCTGAAATCTGTTTCGGTATTCTGCGTGGCTTTTCTGTTATTCATTTTTATCAATCTGAAGACCTACAGAAATAGGCAATCTGCTCAAACCTCGGAGTCACATTTCCCAGTTGCTGTTAATGCAGTCGATTACCAATCTGTTTCCGTGAATCAATGATACATAATAGCTATATGACATACGCTTATGCATTTATTAACGGTTAACAACTTATTGTGATGCTAAAACCCATAGAATTCAGGTAAGTGGTTATTCGTATATTTCGTTCGTTTTTTCATAAATGAGAGGAATGTACATCAAAATTTGTACGTGGAACAGATTATTATGTGTAGAGACAATCGTAAAACAATATCATCTTATTTTTGACTTGGAAACATACAAATCCTTAAATAAACTCACTCTGCCTAATCGAATCATTTTTCGGAAAGCATCCGTTAGTTGTGGTTTTTGAGACTGAGGTACCCCAGTTTCAAATGCAAGCTTGTAGTAATCCTCTTCGGATTTATCCATATCAGTCTGTTAAATAAAATTTGGAACATCTTTTACTCAAACTGAAATATACATGTAAAACTGAGTGGATGAGACGTTGAAATGCACATTGATATAAGACAGAATTTATCCGTGAAATATTTATGATCGTTATTCAAGATGTACAGATATCTCCGAAATATACAAATAGTCTTGAGTTTTTCTATTGTGATTCAACATATGTCGACTGTTCTGGTCGAGAATGATGATTCATTAGTTATTCTACAATGTATTAGATTAAGTCAGATTATTATGAGTATCGAACTTCCATATTGATGACACATATGTTCCCACCCTGGCATCTCACACTTAGCATTCGTAATACATAGGAAAGCAATGTACTACGAAAGACAGGATTTATATTTATACGAACAACATATTTATATTACCGGAGAGTGCGTTCACCTTGTCAATGAACTGGTAAGAGTGTACTTCATTTATGTACCTTTAAAAAATCCTATTGAAATTTTATCATCCATTTTTTCAATTTTAACTTTATATAGAAATATTAGTAAATCTATTCAAATACCTTTTGGAATTACAAATGCGATATGACAATATGATGTCTTCTTTCGTCATTACTTACAAATATATCAATGCAGTTTGTGATTCACATTCTCATCATACACTGTCAGCTAACGTATTCCTTAATTTTGCATAAAACTTGAGTTTTTATTAGACATATCTTTTCTCACAAAATACTGTTATGAAGATAATTGTTTGAAGTATCATCTAAGTGTAATTTCAGGCATTAAATACTGTGTCAAAGTGTCAATCAACTTATCTACCGTAATTACATAAATGTATTAGAAATACAGGATTGGAGACGATATTGAAAGCGGATTTGTGATATAATGTAAACGCATATAAATGAAGTGTTCAAATATGGCCTGGTGAGTAGCATTCTGTTAATACTTTACTGAATTCTCAAAAATTCGGCTGCTACCATAATTTGACAACTTTCTTTAGATGTCACGAATAAACATTATATTGAAGAGCTGATATTGTAATATCATGAAAACGTCTAAATTAAACTCAGTGACGTGATACATAGAGCGTCAGTTAATCCAAATGCATTAATTTTGATACCAAGGAATAATTTAAGTAAATACGTGGTACTAATCATTCGGCTGAATGAAACGTTTGCACGTCAATATTTAAGACTTTTCTGACATTTTATTCAAATCAACATGAGATAGAAGTCAGAAGCTTTCATCGAATTACCTATTAAATAAATAAGTTCTAGACAAATTTAAAAGTTACCTTCTGTAAATCTGTTTGAAAAGCGAACTGACCAGGTGAAATCTGATGAGAGATTAGAATTACAAAATACATTGCAGTGGTTTGTTAAACAATTAAACAAAGTACATACTGCATAAAACATGTAATAGCAATCTGAATTTTATTCAACCTGTTCTCACCAACAACATGTATGTGAAATATATTTGCTTAGTTTGATACAATTTCTTGTTTATGAGATATATTGAGAGTATGTTATTTCTATATATATTACCATTACATGGAATGACACATTGATTTACAATGATTTATTACGTGTATTCACTACTTGAAATTGTAATTTAGAAATGTAATTGCTAAGCGGATTTCAATAAAACCATTTATGTGTTTTATGTGAAAAGAAATGGTGGTAATTAAATTCCTTAAATGAAAAAAAGACAACACAGTGATGTAAATTTCTTTTCGACGTTATCCTTTGCCAAAACCTTACAATGGCATCTATAGAGATTTAATAAATGAATGAGTTTGTAGAAACATAGAAAGAAATTATGTCTAGGTATTCGGTGAAATCAAGTATCAAAGGAAGGTTAGGTAATGATCTAGGAGTTAATGAAGATTAAAAACATGAAAGTTATTTCCAGGTCAGAAATAAGAGAGATTATTGTTAACCTGATAGACATGAAGGAAAACTTGAACCCTTCAAGGTGATGATGACAATGGAATAATAATTCTGGAAAGTTGTACGCAGGTCATTATTACTGGCTATTGATTAAAGAAGTAAAGTATAATAATAGAAAGTATGCTGGAAGCGGTGAAAGACCCACGGAAGTGTTATAGATTATATGTGTCGTTTTTGGTCTGAATCTGTAAACTGCTGAAGACTCACAAGTAAGGCAGTTTTGATAGGACCTTCATTTGTATATCTGTACAGATGGATTTGAAGGATAATCCTAGTGGGAAATTGTGACCAGAACCGATGGGCTATTTCTGTTTTAGTTTGCCGATTGTTTTCGATTTTCCTTCGACAATCCACACCGGATGATGTTTTGAGACACTTTCAGAAAGTGTTGAGTTTTGTGTAGCAAATTTGACCTGCTCCGTCAGAGCAAGTAGTCTATTTTTGTCACTTCCATGACTGACTAGCTGTTTGTAGACGATGCAAAGCCTGGTCGCTTAAAATGATTTTCTCTGAGATTTTGTAACTCGATTTTTCAGAGCTTCCACCGTGAAACTCAGTGCTAATGAACAAAGTTTTTTGAACAATTATTGGTCATTCAGATTTCTGTTCCCATAAAAGGTTTTTAACTGTGAGCCTAGACTGACAACTAAACTTAATAAGTTCTTGTCTGAGTCGGGGTAATTTATTTTTATTGTGTCTTTGGAATATATCCTCCTGGCCCCTGAGGTTAATTACTGAACTATTCAGTGAGACTGAAATACAGAATTCAAGTATTGATCATTCTATTTAACGTGTATGAACCCTTGTGATGGACCATCTGGGGCTATTTTAACAGAAAATAAAGGGAGCGAAATTTCAAAATCACCTTAGCTTCCGACGTAAATGTAATTGGACGATGACAATTATTGAATTTGTTCAGCATGATGATGGAGATGATATTTTTGTTATAGAATATACACGTGTGATCAGTGTATCTTTTGTATAAGTATCATGTACTTGAGCTTAACCATGAAGTGATACATTAGAAGAGGGTCCAGTAGGAAACTCTTTGCTTACCCATAGGTTCATATCCAGAATTCATTGTTAGATCTAAACCGGACATTGAAGGTGCATTGAGGGAGTGTGTGTTTTTAGACAGTGTTTCAGAACACCGATGTCGAAATGAAGATTTGCCTAACAGATATGATGTGTTTATAGAGTGACCGTACCAAAAATAATAACTAACCATAGTCAATTTCCTTAAGCAATAGAACAGCCCTTACAAAATCTGAACTTTGTCAACATTAACCTCATTGACCGTAATTTACTCAAACCTACTATAGTTGCGTATAAAACTCTAAATTTTGTCTACATACTCTACTTGTTAGTAAAGAACGATAGTGGCTAGCAGTGGAATCCAGCACACGCGTTTCGTCCTTTTCGGGACTCGTCAGCTGGATGTATCTGTATCTCAGAGTTGATGTTCACTGTGAGACACGAACTCAGTACCGTTCGCTTCAAACGCCATCGCGTGATCCACTTAGTTACTGACTCCTGATAGCCACTAGTTTGTGCAATGGAGTGAAGTTTGAATTCACTCCGTATTGTTTACTTGAATCTTCCCATCGATGTTCAGGACTGCAATTGATCAGTCTCCACTCTCAGATCCAAGCATATCCAGCTGACTAGTCCCAAGTAGGACGAAGAGCGCGTCCTCTATTCCACTGATAGCCACCACCTATCTTTGTCTAGAATACTTGTGAATTAAGGGAATTTAGAGGCGATACGCACAGTATGCACATATGCAAATAACAGACCGATCAATCGCAGTCGTAAACCCTAATGGGAAGATTGAATTAAACAATATCAAGCGAATGTTACTTGATAGTGCTTTAAGTTATGTACCGTGTTACGAGATGGAACCACCTTTAACATGAGTGGTTCAGTATCCTTGACTACTCAGAAGTCGAAGTTTTCTTAAATGATAGCAGTCAATTTTTAATGGTTATGCGAGCGGTTTATCAAAATTCTTTTATTCACTATGATCAGTTTACATGCCACATGAAAGGTCAAACAACAATAAAAAAGAATTTAAAGTAGTATAATGTGTCATGGCTTTAGTTCTACAAATATGACTTAAGTAGTCTTCGTTAAGTATAACCGAAATGGGTTATTCTGTCGTCACAGTAAAATTTTAGTTTTTGGTAGGTAACATCAATGAAATGCTTTTCCTTAGTAATGCAGTAGATCATATATTTAGTCGTCGTTGTATTCAAAAAAGTATTTGAATTACCAGACTTTCTTATCAAAGTCTAAATACATTTTTTATTCACGTGTGTACATCTTAGAATCTCTAGCTACGACAGTGAAAATTACTTATTAGTTTATTAAAATTTGCAGCAGAATATTGCAACGAATTCATCGAAATCATATCACAGGGTCCACCTACATATATATATAACTTAAATGCTATTGCTCCATGTACACATTATATGAATATTTATCATACTAGAATCTAGTTTCAATTAAATAGCGTATATTACATACGGATTTTTTCAAAACACACTTCATTATGATTTCTTACTCTGGTTTGGGTTATAGGTCATAACTAGAAGTGGCCAATCATTTTTAGTTTATTATAAATTGAGCACAGTAAGTTTACTTGATATGAGTATTTCAACGTCAAGTTCTAGGGTGTATGGACAATGATTTAAATAGATTCAAAAACAATCAATATTATCAAAGAAGTTTGATATAGGATTTATAATTGAAGTTCTTACCAGGACGGCAAAAATATCCGCTGCGATGTTCATTGAAAATAAAGGTGAACGTCCAGTTTGAGTTAATATTGGTAGAAATAGATCGGTAAGACTGTTATTCATTTGACTTTGATTTCGCCCATTTGTATTATTTATCTCCGTCGAAAGTGATGGTATTAGTTGCCATCCGCCAAAATACATATCTATCAAGTGATGACGACTTTCACGCGTTGTGTCTGAATTTCGACTATTTACGCAAGATTTGTAAAATGCTCGAGCTGATTGTAAGCGCCAATCTTCTTTATAGTATGAATCGTTAGCTTGAAAGCATTGTAAATTATTGACATCAAATTATGGAGAATAAATATTGACCGTATTCTTAACGAATTCGTTCAATAAATTATTGTAAATTTGAAACTCAAAAGAGACTATGGAATTCTGATGTTAGGTAAATGGAGGAAGATTACAGAAGGCCTTTGCAGTTACTCACCAACATTGCGTGAATCCAACTTTGAAGGACTGATGTACTTCAAGGAATTCGATGTAGAGTCATTTGTACTGGTAACCACATTTCATCTTAGCAGAATCACAAGTCAGCTTTCGTGACAAAAGCTGGATAGAATTATGTAAAACAGTGTGGCCCGATATTATTCATATCTTATTCTTACTAAAGGCCATAATTCATGCAAATAGCTTCAGCGTGATGTCACTTACTATCTAACATGGTCCAAAGTTTTCGTATCTCATGTAAACCATCATTTTCAAGTAGATTCCAAATATACTTCGCTGATAAGTGTCAAATTGGATGTAGCCTGGCTTCTGAACTTTCAGCTAAATATACGATTGGACCTTACTGCAAAAGCATACATACCACTTGCTTTTAACTAGAAGTTACATTGTAACTTCTTGAAAATAATTTCGTGTATCGCATTCAGTAAAGGGAAATAAATAGGTGGACCTCTTTCAAAAACAATAGTTATTTATTCAAGAAGTGATATTACCTATATTTTAAGTGACTGAAACTTTGTTTGAGTTAGTTTACAGATCCTTCGGTTTGGTTGAAGCATGGCTGTCTGTCTACTTGCATGGATTCTGCGAAAAAATTCAAGCTTTAACTCTATACAATTCGATACTCTTTATATGAAGTTTTAATTGTAGGGAAATATTTATAATATCGAAATCAGCACAAATTATATTATGATAACATTATTTTACTATGACTTACCAATTATCTTCCAGAAGTAGTTATCAACGTTCATTCCCATCTGTTGCATAACGCTTGAACTAGCACTATCACCCGACAAAGGGTTCTGTTTTTCCCACTCTCCACATGCAGTTTCGTAAAAATCGATACAATGATTCGAGAAACCTGGGTTATCGGTATTATTCTGCATAGTCACTTCCAATGTGTTTGTTGCTGCATAAAAATGTGTAAGCAATAAAACTAACTACTGAAACGAGGATTTGAGGAATACATAAGACAGACCATTTCAGAACGATTAAGTGTAAGGTAGTTGCTTTAAACATTTGACCATTACTGTTGTGGGGAAAAAAACCCTAGTTTTTTAATTAAATTGAACGTTACTATAAATAAGTGAGACTGATTCACTAAGGAGATAACTCTCACATTGATCTATTTTCTACAGCTTATGGCATCGCTCGTATTTACTTAATCGATTTACTTCCCATTCTCGGATATCTCCGTTAGAACGGCGGATTACTGCTACAAATTAATCGACCTACAGCAATGTGGAAGTATGAACACGGTGATGTTCATTATGACATTGAAGGTATTCAAAGAAAGATATTTTATGAGGTGATTTAGTACTCCGCGATACTTCATTCTAAATGCTTGATGAACAGACGTTTGGGTATTTTGATGTGATATGATTCAAAAACAGTTACAGTGTGAAGGCTACATTCACTCTTCATCTTCCTCTTGATTCTGAACTAAAGAATCCATTCATGCCTACTTTTTTGATTATCATAATTAATAGATTATTTCGATCTTTTTACTATTCATTTTGTCAAATAAACAAAAATTGACTAACCAGTGTCAGGTGTTTCCGTAATCCGTGTGGTTTCATCTGTTCCAACGAATTCTGAAATGACACAAAGTAAGACACTGAGAAGCTCTATCATCATAAATCTAAGTATATGTTGACCATGGAAAATTCCTGATGGCAACAAAACTATATACTATTAAGGCAATCAATAAACATTGAATTACACAAGACGGTTAATGATACTGTGATTTCTCAAACTGATCGAATACTAGACCGGAAAAGAGATGATGATGATTTTCGTTAGAACTATTTTGGGATTCCGTGATCAGACTGATCAATATAACACTCTATGAACATACTGTGATATTTATTTATTTATTTCCTGCATATTTTATGATGATAAATGTAAGTGCTTCATAACTGGAGACAATCGAATGTATTTGAACACAAAATACGGAACATGTTACTAAAAATCTGAAATACTCTATTTGCTAAATGTTAACCAATTGTCCCAAACTCGACTGTTTCTTCATTTTCGCAGCAATCATTCACTGTTCTCGTTCTCTTTTCTTCGACCTCCTCAACCTTCTGCTGCCAGAAATTTCACTTTCGATTGTTGATACGTACTACTTATATCTATCGACAACAATAGCACACGCCACAGTATGATTTATTGACAGTTTATTTTTTCTATCTTGTGTCTCTATTTGTATTTATTATTATAACTATCATGTTTCATAATGATTTGTTTCAAACCTGTTTTTGTCGGAATACATTATGAATTATGTGATTATCATTGTTCCCAATTCATTGTTACTGATTATGTATTAGTTTTGTCTAATTGTCAAATGATAATATTCCATCAACAAGATTATTTTATCTAAGATAATGTTTTTCAAGTGTATTCAAATATCCATTAAAACAATTGACAATAAAACATATTGCTTAGTAAACAATAGGAGAATTATATTTATACGTGCTTTATCAGTGAATACAACTCCGCCTGGAACCCCTCTGCGATTACTGCCGGTCCCATGTCCGGATAAATGAGGAGGGTCGGGCATGGAGTTACTGACCCCATCCCGTAGAAAACTAACTCGCTAAAAATACGCTAACCAGAAAAAAATCCAAATCATTTAAACTCTACACTGAGAATTAGAAGAGCATTTAGAAGAGTTATGACGCCTCATGATGAAAACCGAGTTCATTCGGAAATTACGAGTCTGATGCCCGTTCTGACAGCCAGAGCAACCATTAACTGAGGTACATGGAATACTCGTAGAATGTGGAAAACTGGGAGAGTAATAAAAATTGTTAACTGTGAATAAGGTTTAGAATTTTTCATTTTGTTTTTCACATATTTTTAAATAATTTCAGGAATCTAATTGTTGATAGGAACTTATGAAACGTCGTGGAAAAATTGACTAATAAACATTAGATAATGCATTTGTAGAAAACATGAGAAAGAAAACTATTTGCGAAAAAATAAATGATTAATATTAGATAAGTTCAAAACTGTTCAGGATCTAAGTCATGTATTTTTCAAAGAAACCTATTGAAATGGTTAAATATGAGGTTAGAGCATAGTTGTTCACACATGAAATATGATGTGTTTGGATTTCTGGTATTGTCAGTTTTTGAAACACAGTTTTTACAAACTCGATCAAATTTGTTCCAGCTATTGTTAAACTTGCAGTGAATCAAATGAGATTTGAATAGGGTACTCTATATGTTTTGATTTCATATGGAATGTACAATGTTAATGTAAAGATAGTTGACTACGATTACCAACCTGAATTCCATCATGACATAATTAAACTCACAAAGCTGTATTACGAATAAATATTAACATTTCTATGTGATTCATAAACCTTAGACTGATTTAATTGAAAAAATCCTGTGAATCTTATTACTTTCCACGCACCCACTGGTACTTCAAAATTATCTAATGATTATTGCTTATTCATGAATAGTTTATATTTCTATGAAAAGGTAAATAATCCCGTCTTCAGGAATCATTAAAATGCATCAGTTTAAAACTTGCAAAATTAGCTCATGTTTATTGTGAATAAATTAAGAATTGTTTTATTACATCTGATACAGTGATACACTTTTCTACCTAATGCATTATGAGTCTTTTTTAATCAAAGTTTGAACCACAATAGTGAATAACTTCTGATTAACTGTATGCTTTTGTGGCACGAGATCTCACTCCCATAATATCGTATGAATGATTTTTATTGAAGTACGCAAATCGTCAATCCTCGTATATTATCATCGACTTAACTCGCGTTAGTGAATAATGGAATTAACTAAGCCAGACACGAGAATGAATTTGGAATATGTATATTTCATGAATTCATTGATTTGAGCAGGCCATAATGGAAAGAATCGAAGAGAAGAGAGCGAAGCGAAATGACGCGCAGTGGAGAAGGCATGTGAGCCAACCCCATTTAACCAAGCGTTAATCAATATTTTTAGTTACACAAAATCAAGCTACAGACATGTGATGAATGGGATAAGAAGGGCATACACATATGCGCTCACATAAAAACAACCAGGATTGATAAGACAAAATAGTTAATATGGTCAAAACGTGACTGATTAACTGTGTGATATGAAATCGTTTAGTCCCTTAATTGAACCAGATATCCAAATTAAAGTTTCATCATTATGGATACGTTTTCACTAAGTTTTAATTTGAGAAAGGCATGTTATAATTTCCCAATGAAAATTCACTTTATCACTGCTTATGCACAACACATTCTAATATTCTTGTTCAACATGTTGACATACTTTATTCAAGAAATCTTCAAATCAATCATATAAGCCTCTACTATACGTTTGCAATAATTCTGGAAATTGGTAATGATGTGTGAGCGAGAATGATAATGATTGGTTGTCTGCTTATTCAGACATGCAGAGATAGTCAGATAGGTGTCAGATGAGTTATATATCCCCCTATTCTTATTATTAATTATTATTATTGATTGGCTGTTCATTGTTGTTGGATTGTGTCGGGTTTTTGGTGTGAAAATATAGTTGCGTTCTGGTCAGGCCAATCACGTGTTCTTGATCTGAGTTGTGTTGATTTCCTGCAGGATAGACACTGGGAGGAAATTTAGTGTAGATGTTCGTCCTAGGTAAACTAACGTCCCATACATGTAAACGTCAAAAACCCAACCGTTATAACATTAGACGAAGTAAAACTGAGCATTAAAACAGGTAGTTATTTGGCTAATTTACCTAACTACAGTATGATGCATTATGGTGTATGCAGTATTGCTTTCGTGCATGCAGAAAATGTAAGTGATTGCGTGAGAACATGCAAAATGTGAAGAGCGATATATCAAACTATTAACAAAATTTGACCATACGCAGTCATTGTGAACAAAATTAGATTTGATAAGTTTTAATCAAGATGCAGTGTCATATATAATGAATCTTACCGTAACAGCAACTCAGAACGAAAAGGATTGCCACTATATCAAATGAAATTATGTTTGTCAACTTCAAGAAATCCTACCATATTTCGAAATTCTTCCTGCTAGAAAGCCTTCAAACGAAGATGACATCACTTTGAGGATAATGCAAAGTATATGTTTTCAGTACGTTTGTTCTTTTCGCGTGATCGGCTTCGTGTTTTCAGATATATATATACATATATATGAGGTCAAAGATTGTTGGTTTGTGCAACTTGTTATCGGAAGACTGCAAATATTTGCTCTCATTTTTTACAAACTATTTTCTCTGTCACTTTGAAATAAGTTTGATCTATTGAACAAGAAAAATGAGATATGAATTTATAATTAACTGTTGGAGATTCAACTCTTTAGAAACTTATTAGTCCAGACAAAAATGACATTGTCTGTATTTTACAACAAAAAAATGTTGGTCGTGTGTGATCTTTGAAAATGTGGTTGAATTTCTTATCTTATTCTTTGGGTAATTAAATAATTTGTAAAAACTCAGAAAGTGTTTATTACTTCGTATCGTAACTTGGAACTAAGATCTTGTATTAGTTGAAGGAAATGAGAAGTTCCTAGTTTTTAACATGTACATATAACATGAAAGATACTCACCTCGAGTCACTATGACATTTATGAAGGTACCTTGAATAAGGTTACAATTACTATAGTTAGCAAATGTGTACTGAAATCTAAATTTCTTCTGCGTCTTTTAATAAGAGTAAGATATATTTGTATAGAAGTGCTATATATCTCGTCCATTTTCGAACTTATATAATCATTTTATTATGATTATCACATTTTGATCTAAACACATACATACATTGATGAGATCATTACTCCATTCTGTGGGTTAAACATGATGATGTTCTGTGTTAATGAGTGTGTTCATCTATGTTCAAGTAAGCATAAATCACGAGA